CTATAACAATAATAATCATAGCACATGTATAAAGTGCTTGGTATATACTTGGCACTGTTGGGGGTACACAGTAAGCATTCACTCATTTAACAGACCTGGGAAATGCAGAGAGTTTAAGTAACTAGCCCATGGTCACATAGCTGGTGGTGTGGGATTTGAACCTGGGCTATCCCATTCTTAATCCTTGGAGTTTTACAGTAAAAATTAATGTAGAGTCCTAAAGATTCTAAACATTCAAGACAGTAGGGATGCACTTGAATCAGGTGAGTGATTTTCACATGCACATGTGATTTCTGACTTAGAGCCCTAGGGTATCACTGCATTTCTCTGACAAGTTTGTGGACATCTGGCAGTATTTCCTGGGGTGGCTTTACATATTTTATTTTCATATTGATGGTGATCTCACAAGAAATTAAAAAGAAGTTTGTTCTGGCTTCTTTGGTTGATATTGTTGACTGAAGGCTGCTTTTGGAGAAGGAAGGAAGTAGGCAGGCTGGGGTTCCACAGAGGAATCATTCCTGAACCAGCAGTGGGGCTGTAACTGCAGGCTTGTTTCAGGGTTGAGAGTGAACAGGATTTAGAGATGGTTGTGCCAGGACCAGTGGACTTGAAATTGAATCCGTCCTTGAACACTTCCTGTGGGACCGGCCTTGGGTGAAGATCTTGACCTTTCTGAGCCTTAGTGCGCTGGTGAATGGAGCCACTTTTCCTTCTTTGTCAAGGAAGAAATGATGAAATGTCATCCTTCATGGCTTAGCCCATGCCTGAAGTTCAGCAGGTGGCCATCAGTTTGGATTCTTCTTGGCCCTGGCAGGGGTTCTATGTTCTCCTCTTTGTCATTGAGAGAAGATAAGAAAGATCAGTGGCATTGATTGCTCTGCCTCCCTGGCTCCACAGAGGCCACACATTGGCAGACTGAAGAGTTAGGACGGCATGAGCTCCTGCAGAAACCAGTTCCCCGGGGAAGGGAAGTAACTGCCCCTGTCACATGGCTAGCCAGCAGCCTAGCCAGGATGAAGACTCATGATACCTTGTGACTTCCCACTAGTGCTCCTTCAACTACTCACAGTCATAGGTCTCTTGGGCATTCCCTGTAGTCGATGAGTGTTTCCAAGGCTGCCTGTGCTCCCTCCACCCTATGAGACCCCTTCTCTTAACTCTCATTCAGGGCTAGGATGGCCCTAGGTACTCCTTCTGAGGTCAGAGTTATCTTACTCAAGTGCACTTTTCTCCTGTAGAGAGATGGCAGCCAGGGAGCAGGAGTGGTGGGCTGAGACCTTCACAACCTCAGGTTGTTTCTTGATAGAGGACATGCTTTTCTTCCTACCACAAGAGAGCCATGGTGAGGTAAGGCAGAGGAGGAGGCTGTTTACATCTCATTTAGAAAAAGCATTGGTGGCAAGATACTGTAGAAAAGCTCTAGGATAATTGTGCATGCCATTAAAGGCAGGTGCTAAATTCCTGTTCTTCGGATGCCAGTCAGAAGCAGCAACATCAGCATCACCGTGGAGTTTGTGAGAAATGCAGAACCCCGGACCCCACCCTAGACTTGCTGAATCAGAATCTGCCTTTTAACAACATTTCAGGGAATTGGTGTGCACAAGAAAGCTTGAGAATTACTGCACTAAAAATTATCAGTAATAAGGTGATGGAGATTTTTTCTTTGTACATTTTTTTCCTGATTTGTAATTATTGTATATTATTTTGCATGAATTCACGAATTGCTTTTTTTGTGATAAATAACATAAGATTTATCATCTTAATCATTTTTTAAAATCTTCACCCAGGAACATGCTTACTGATTTTAGAGAGAGGGGAAGGGAGGGAGAGAGAGGGAGAAAACATTGATGTGAGAGAGAAACATTGATTGGTTCCCTCTCGTATGCCCTCCAACTGGGGACTGAACATGCAGTCTAGGAATGTACCCTGACCAGGAATCAAACCCTTGACCTTTTGGTTTACAGGATGATGCTCTTAACCAGCTGAGCCACACCAGCCAGGGCCACCTTAACCATTTTTAAGTGTATAGTTTAGTGGTATTAAATACATTCACATTGTTGTGCAACCATCATCACCATCCATCCCCATGATTCTTTCTGTTGCAAAACTGAAACTCGATACCTATTAAAAAACAATTCTCCATTCCTTCCTCTCCCTAGCCCTTGGCAACAGCTACTGTATTTTTCCTCTATGCATTTATTCTAAGTATTTCAAAGAAATGAAATTATACAGTATTTCTCTTTTGGTGTCTGGCTTATTTCACTCATAATGTGCTCAGTGTTCATCCATGTTGTAGCATGTTGCAGTTTCCTTCCTTTTTAAGGCTGAATAATATTCCATTGTTCAATATACCATATTTTGCTTGTTTGTTCACCCATTGGTGGACACTTGCATTGTTTTCATGTTTTAGCTACCACGGACAATGCAGCAGTGAACATGGGCATAAAATTTCTCTTCGAGACCCTGCTTTCAGTTCTTTTGGGTATATGCCCAGAAGTAGAATTGCTGGGTCATATGGTAGTTCTATTACATAAGTTACATTTCTGATCAGAAAGAACAGCAACGGCACTGCAGGGTGCAAAACCTTGTCAGGTTTCCAGCTGGCATTGCCCAAGGGTGAGCAGAGTTGTTGGGTGCAATACTTGGGAAAAGGAAGAAAGCAAGCCTGACTTCTCTATTCTGGTATTAGAGAAGAACAGAAACTAAACCTTCTGCTAAATAAAGAGCAGGATTTATTGATAGACACAGGTGTCAAGAGAGATGTTTGAGAGCCCTGGGGTCTCCATCATGAGTAAGGCTATAAGATGGCCTCTTGTCTGGTGGGAATGATAGGTAGGCTGTCCTTTCTCAAAACCTCTTCAGTAAAATAACAATGACAACATTTGGGAAGTCAGACGTATTACTGTGTGTCTATGGAGCATCTACCAACTGGTTTTATCTCCAGCCTGGAGTAAGGAAGGAGCCTTGTGTGGTGGTAGTTCTGGCACAGTCATTTGAAGGGCATGGCCTTGAGTCAAGGTCACAGTAACACCAGTTAGTATTCAAAGCAGAACAAAAACTAAACCTGTTATCATGGTCCATAAGACCCTTTGTGATTGGCCCCTGCCCACCTCTCTAATCTTTACTTCCCCTTTTTTGCTTTTTGCTGAAGTTACGGCAGACTTCCTTCTGGACCTGGAAGACCAGAGGCCAACTCTGTTCCTGTCTCCTGGGCTGTACCCTGGCTCTTTGCTCTGCCTGGAACCCTGGTCTGCATATCTTTTCATGACTGCTCCTTCTTTTTGTAAAGGGCTCAGCTCACTGTCACACGTGCAGAAAGGTCTTCCAGGACTGCCCTGGCTAACATGGCCCTCTTGCTTCCTCCCTGTCTCAGCAGCCCATTTGTTTTTTCTTCATGGTATGACTCTCGAGCATCATCTCATTTAGTTGTTTACTTAGGTTCTATTTGTTTCTTCCTAGTAGAATTTCACTCTGTGAGAAGATGGCTCTTTTATACCATTTAACTCCTGGGTCCCCAGCCCTTAGAACATTGCCTGGCACATCATTGAAATTAAATAAATACTAAATGAGTTAATGTGCACAGTTGTTGGTCCTCTGTGAGCTCCAGTTTTCCCATCTGTGGTATGAGGTTTTTTATATGACATAATGCATGCAGAGTACGCAGTTGAGTGTCTGGCATGCAGGAAGTGCTCAACACAAGGCCGCAGTTTGTATTAACTGGGCAGCCCTGGCATGACTCAGCTTAATCACTGACCATCTCTGAGGTGATACTCTGCTGGTACTCCCTAGAGAAGCCCATGTTGAGTTGGCCAGGGAAGAGGCAGCCTGGTGACAGTTCAGGGCTCATGGTATGGAACATCTGTTCCTGTAACTCTGAATCTGGGTCTCCTTTGAAACAGTTGTATTCTGTGTGTGGTGTATCATAACACGTAGCCATGGCTCTGTTGGTTGGAGTCACTGGGCCTCTTGTGGAGCATCAGATGTAGCTCTGACAATGTTCTGCCCAGTATTTTGAAGTGTCCTTGCCCCAGACCCTCTTTAAGTAGGAGTTCAGTGTATGCCACATGTACCAGTTGGGAAAGCTTTTGGCTGTAAGTAATGGCCCAATGTACAGTGTTTTGAACAAATGGAGTTATTTGCTCTGTTAGAGGTAGTAGATTTCCAGTATCAGTTCAGCAGCAAAATAATATAAGGGCTGACATCTTTGTGATTCTCTTGGCCTTCCCTTCAGGCCTGTTGCTTCATGGTAGCAAGATGCTACTTGGCTCCACCCAGTGTGTTTATGATTAAGAGATAAGAGTGGAAGGGGGAATGAAGCCATTAACATCTGTTCTTTTATTAGGATGACATAATTTTCCCAGGACCTTCCCAGTACACTTCTGCTTACATCTCGTTAGCTAGAACTTCTTACAGTCAGCCTTGTAAGAGAAGCTTAGAAAAGGAGGAATCAGGTTTTCAGTTTATATTGCAGTGGCATGGAGAAGGGATGTGGGAGGTGATGGTGAGGTGAGCCAGCAAGCCTATGTACTAGGAAACTTACTCTCATAAGTTAGAATTTTAAGTTAGAATATTGGTTCTCAACTGGGGGCAATTTTGTTCCCCAGAGGACATCTAGAGACATTTTCGTTGCTATAACTAGTGTATGTGTGTGTGCATGCATGTGTGCTAATGGTATTTAGTGGGTAGAGGCCTGGGGTGCTGCCAGATATCCTCTAATTCATAGGGTAGCCCCCACCATCTGGTGGTCCAGATGTTAGTAGTGTCAAGGTTAAAAAACCCTGGATTTGATTATTCCACATTGCAATAACAGGGAAATGGTCAGACTTCATCTGTATGATATAAATTATTGGTGCCTGGTTTTGCTATGGGTTTTATTAAAGAGTAGGCTGGTATTAGTTGGGGACAGTCATACACTATATATCTGACATACACTATATGTCAGAAAGTCTTAATAGAAGGCTAATGTCAAACAGAACTAATTAAGCCTTGTTGCATTTTAGGATCACAGAACAATGACATTAAAAGACAATTTCTGCTGGAGCGACTGCTGGATGCAGTGAAACAGGTAAGAGGAATGCTCATGTTTGACCTTGAGATCAAGTAATAATGTCAGATAAGCAATGTAGAAGTAATTTCTGTCTATCTAGACAGACTTACCCCCACTTTGTATCTTGGAACAGTGAGGCCAATAGTTTCCCCCAGAAAATGATAGAACAGGGAAGGCTATCAGAGGTAGGGACAGAAGCATTCTTGTGTCCTGACTTTCTACAGCCCTCTGGAGGACTGCATCCTTCAGGATGTCCCTTTGAGAAGGGCACTGATGTAGGTTTCAAAGTCTTATTCCCAAGCAGTTGTGTTTTAGGGCAACTCTTTTGGGTACTAAGGTGGTGGTTGGGGTCTCTGTGAGGATAAGAACAGAGATAGGAAGGAATGAACCATGCTCAGGATTGATGGTGTGGATCCTCCAGGTGGGCTCTGATCTGACTGGTTGATGCTATTCTGATGCCTGGCTTTTGACTGGGTGGGAGGTGAGCTTTGACATGAACTGGCATGTTTTCTTGCCTGCATATATACCAGGCATGCATCATTTATTGTACATTCATCGTGTGCTGGGCTGTCTGCTTTACCTCCATATTCTTTACATTTAATCCTTTCAACCACCCTGTGAGACAGTTCCTACAATTATTTCCATTTTACTGCTAAAGAAACGGAAACTCAGAAATGTCCAAAAACTTTCTTCTGGTGTTATAGTTAATAAGTAGCAGAGCTAGGATCCAGCCCTGGGAATTCAAGGTAGCTCACCTTTTGGAAGGGATGACTGACAATTTTGTGCGTGTATATAGGGAGATAGGAGATAAATACTTTAATAAAGGTGTGTGTTAGGTGTTGACTGTAGTAGGTGTTAGGTGAGCTCAGAGGCTATCATCCTCCCAAGCCTCAAGGTGTCCTGATAGGGTGAGACAACACAAGCTCAGGTGTAACTGGGGTCAAAGGCCAGTTTCATCTCCTCCCAGCTGTGTGTGCTTGGACAGCTCGTCTAGCCTTTCTGGGCATTCTCCTTCTCTGTAATCTGGTCATTGATCTTCACACTGATGTTGAGAGAACTGCATTTGTTAAAGTAGGTAAAGGCCCAGCCAGCCCCTGATCCACTGTAAATTAGGAGCCCACATTATTCATTTCTTCTTTCTTTGCTCCAGAGATGGAAACAATGGCAAGAAGATTAGGAGACAATTGGAACTACTTTAGGAGTAGCAGTTAAACAGAAATACATTAGAGTTTATGCCCAGATCTGCCATTATTGTTATTATTATTATTTTGGGCAACAAAAGTGTTGTGTATATATGCCTTTTAAAAATCAACATTTTTGAGATATAGTTTGCATACAATAAAATACTCTAATTTTGAATGTGCAGTTCTATAAGTTTTGACAAATGTATCATTTAAATTTTACATATGGTCTTTTAGTTATGAAGTTCAGAAATCTTGTAAGCCTGCTACCCACATTGGAGATTCCACATCTTTAAAAGAGAATAGTGGATAGTGGTGATAGTCGCACAATATTGTGAATTGAATTGTATAACTAGAAATGATTAAACTGTTAATTTTGTGTTTTCTATATTTACAATTAAAAAAAAGGAAAATAGTTTGCTTTTGTTTGTACCCGCCCTGGGTAAATTGTCACTCTGAACAACCAGATGACTTGTTTGAAGTATGATTTATCCTGTCATAATTTTCTAGCCAGCCATAACAACTTTAGGCCCTTGTCAAAAGGGATTCATCATTGCAGATTTATTGAAATTTTCGTTATTGCCTATTAAGAGCCCTGTGTTATATACATTGCCAGCTGCTGACACATAGAAGTTTCTTAGGTAATGTGCAGAAGCTGTGTGCTTCTCTTTTCCTCTTAGCATTGTTTTCCCACATGGCACACTTCTGTACAAGTGGGACATAAGGACTTCCTTTAACTGGCAGCTGGAAGGCTGGGATGTCTACCATCTTATGTCTTGGGCTGATACTCAGGGCAGGGGACACCCTGACTCAGCAACCCAGAATTTCTGTTCCTGTGTCCCTGGTGACCCTGAGGTCTGTGTGGGCTGTTTGGTGACATTTGAGTGTCCCATCCCAACAGCTGATCACAGTGGCTTCTTTTTCCATGCAGTGCCAGATCCGCTTTGGAGGGAGAAAGGAAATCGCCTCGGATTCTGACAGCAGGTAAATATGTCGCTCCTAAAACCATTTACTGTCAAGAGCAAAAAGGTAGCTAGAGATGACCAGCTTCTATATTCTGCCTCTGCAGCCGAATGGTGCAGTGATTAAATTTGGGTGCTCTGTAGACTGTCTATGCAGGACTACTCTGAAGTATTTTCAGCTTCCCATAATTCTCATTTGGAATTTTTTATAAGGGAACTGCTTGAAATACTTTCTGAAGGCCCTGGCTGGGTAGCTTAGCTGGTAGGAGCATTGTCTCAATATGCCAAGATTGCAGGTTCGATCCTTAGGGCACATACAAGAATCAATCAACAAGTACATAAATAAGTGGAACAACAAAATCGATGTTACTCTCTCTTTCTCTCTCTCTAAAAATGAATAAAAAAAGAAATACCTTCTGCATAGTTATTTTCAGGGAAAATTTATAGTGGTGAAAACTTAGAAATCTAAATGCGTGACAATTGGGAAATGATTAATAAAGTATAGTGCATCAGTAGAGTGGAATGTTATATAGCCATTAAATTGATGTCTGTATAATTTTTTATGCACAAAATAGATATGTAGAATTAAGAAATTATATATTTAGTAAAAATAACAAGAGCAGGTTACAAAATTATATGGATGTAGACTGATTCTAGTTATGTTAACCCTGAGGAGGTTGTAGCAGATCTGAGAGATGCAAACTCTTTTAGATATTGTTACATACATCAGGTGCATATGTCCAAGGCCATGACTAGCTACATGTTTGTATGTGACTAATGTTAAGACATAATGTTTAAGCAGTTTGGTTATAACATGTGTTTTTTAAGGGTGTGTGATGCATAGGACCTACGCTATAATTTTTTTGACCGTGACCTCTGCAGGGTTAAACAACTCTGGCAAAAAATGTACCAAAGTATGAACACAGGTAATGTTGGAATTAAGAATATTGAAAATCTTTGTATTTCCTGATATTTTTCATATTTTGTACTGTTGTTAGAGGGCTAAATGGTATTTGGCTGCCTGCTGCCATACACAACCATAAAGCAGAGGTTGGTGGGGGAGGAGAAGGCTTTTATTAACATGGTGCCCAACTTGGGGGAGTTGGAAGCTCCCCTGCTCCAGGCCTTTCTCTTGTGTAAAACACAGAAATTCCTGTGTTCCCAAAAAGACTGAAGTCCAAATCGATGCTCAGAGATCCCCTCCATTCTTATCTGCCCTTGTGGAGTCCAAGGCTGCTACATGATTGATCTCCATCTCTCCAGCTCCAGGCTCTCTCTCCGGAGCACACACTTGTGTGGCCTGTGTCTCCATTGCCTCACTGCAGCTTCCTCCCTCTCCCGAGTCCAGGTTGCACTGGCAAGCCACTGCAGCCGGTCATGCGAGGGGCTCAGTCCACTGGGCCCCCAGTGTCCGGGGTTGCTTGTGCCCTTGGGGCTGGCAAACTTGCCCAGCCCGAGTGTCTGTGTGATGTTCTCAGTGCAAGAGAGTGGGAGCAGTCCAGGACCTGTGCCGAGTGGCATGGGGCCGCAGTGTCCTGTCTGAGTCTGCTGCTGGCAAGGTGTGTGTTTGTACAGGCCTGTTCCAGGCTGTGAGAGCAGGGCAAGGCAAGAGCCACTAGTGGGGCCTGGTGTCCTGCGGGCCCGTTGCTGGTGGGGTACCCATCTTGTGCATGGGACTCAGCCTCTGTGGGCTGGTTCCCGACTGGGTAAGCGAGGGGAATGCCAAAAGGGTGCCCGAGCAGGGCCTGGCATCCACCATGTCTCAAGAACACTCTGTGCTCCATCCCACTTGGGGGCGAAGGGCAAAGAAGAATGAGGGAGCTTCTGTATACCCGCCTTTTAAAATCTTCCCCCCAAATCTGACATGCTGTGTGAGTGTCCCACTTTCTAGCCAATTTGGGTCAACGTTCACCACGTGTGTGGGCTTGCAGTGCCCCAGCCTCTCCTCTGGCTGCCATGATCCAGAATGAAGTAAAAGGGTTTTACATGTGCATTGTGACCTTTCTGCCCCCAAAGCCCATGCAAGCTCTGGGCAAGAGGTGTCAGGAGTGGTAGTTGTTTACTGTTGCCTTGGGGGTATGGGATCATGCTCCAGCTCCAGGGCTGCCTTTGGCCCTTCCCAGCCCCTCTCAGGGGTCCCTTCCTTCTTCGGAGCAGGGCAGGCTATTTCTTCAATTCTCTGTCTTGGGGTTTCCTCTGGCCCCTCCTTTCTCCAGGGGGGTGCAACCTCTCACTCTGGGGTTTCTCTCCACCTCCCAGCAATCTGGCTAGACCCCCCTGTTACACTGTGATTATGTGTTTCTTTTATAATTGAAAAAAGTCCTAAAAATTGCCATTTGCCTTTATGACCCACAAAAGGCTGACATTGTTGCATAAGCTTATAACATTGATCAGGGGGTGACACCAAGATTTTGGCGAAGATGACAGACCCACAGGCATTTGTTGGAAATGCTTTGTGAAGTCATTCACAGCTGATTCATGCCTTGCAGTGGTGAGGCCAGGAGACATCTTCCTGCAGAGGAAGGGAAGGGAAGGAAACTCACTTGCTCAGACCTCATCTCATTCTGGAGACTTTCCACAGCCCACACCCTCTCACCATTACCCACCTAGTAGAGCCAGTTCCCTTCTCTGTCCTTTCACACCCTCATTCTCCTGTGACACTTTGCTGGCCATGAGCACAGGATGTAGTGCTCCTTTCTAATGGAGCTGCAGGGACTCTGAAATTGGGACAGATTTAAAATGGTACCAACTCCCTTACACTTCTATTCCTCTTTGTTTTTCTCCATCACACTTATCACCAACTAACACTCTGTACATTATGCTTTCCTATTTTGTTTATTTCTGCCTCCTATGCCATAATGTCAGCTCTATGTGGGTGGTAATATTATGCTGTCTTGTTCACTGATGTATACCCAGCCTCTAGAAGCATCTAGAAGATGCTCAGTAAAGATTCATGGTCTGGTTGAGTGTATACATTGCATTGTACCATAGTGAAGTGTATAAATAGCCATGCTACTACGAGGCTTGTAGGCTTTGCGGTCAGGGCAGCTTTTCATTTTTTTACTTTTCAGTGTTTTGCACAAACATTTTGGACCTGCCACACATTAGGTTCTTGGTATATGTTTGTGGCATTGATCATTAGCTGTATTTATTGCTTTAGTTCTTTTGGGGGGCTGTTGATCTGCCCCCGGCAGGCTGGTGTGAGAGTGCATGGGCTCTCGAGGCCTGGATTTGAACCCTGGTTCTTCCTTTTTTTCAGCTGTGTCATTTGCCTTACCTCTCTGAGCCCAAGAATTAGGTCTATTGTGGCACTGTGATTTATAAGAAAGACATACTGTATTTTTCAGATTAAAATGCACCCCCAAATTTGGGAGGACAGGGGGTGCATCTTATAGTTCGAATGTAGCTTATCTGGCTTGCTGTGGGGGGGGGTGGCAGTGGAGTGGGGTCACAGGTTATTAAATATTTTACCACATTTTTTGCTTCAAAATTTTTTTTCCTATTTTCTGCCTCTAAAAACCAGGTGTATCTTATAGTCCTAAAAATACAGTGCATTTGTTCTTTGTTCCCATTTCTGGCACTGAGCTCCTAAAACTTCTGACATTTTCAAGGTGATGATATCCATAAAAGTGTCTTTTGTTATGTCAAGTGAATCTTGGAAAGCACCAAAGGTTAGGAGCTGGTTGCCAGAAGAAACCCCCACCTCCAGGGAGGGGAGAGGGACTGGAGATTGAGTTCAGTGGCCGCTGGCCAGTGGTTCAGTCAGTTACGCCTGTGTAATGAAGCCTCCACAAAACCGTTGCAGGATAGGTTTTGTAGAGCTTCTGGGTTGGTGAACTCTTGGAGGTGCAGGGAGAGCGGCCCTCTCTGAGAGAGCAGGATAGCTCCACGCCCTTTCCCACATATGTCCTCATCTGTTTTTCTTCCACCTGGCTGTTCCTGAGTTATATCCTTCAAACATTAAATTTTTTTTTAAATTTTATCCTCACCTGAGGACATTTTTTTTTTCATTGCTTTTTAGAGAGAGGAAGGAGGGGGAGAGAGAGAAACATTGATGTGAGAAAAAAACATCAATTGGTTGTCTCTTGTATGCACCCCAACTGGGAGATTGAACTCACAGCCTAGGTATGTGCCCTGATTGGGGATTGAATTCACAACCTTTCGGTCCATGGGGTGATGCTCCAACCAGCTGAGTCACACTGGTCAGGGCCTGAGTTATATCCTTTTTAGGTAAACTGGTAATCTACTAAGTAAAATGTTTTTCTGAGTTCTTTGAGCCACTCTACCAAATTAATGGAAACCGAACAAGAGCTCATGGAACCTCAGATATATAGCTGGTTAGTCAGGAGCACAGGTGACAACCTGGAATTGCAACTGTCACCTGAAGTCATGGGCTGGTGCCTTAACCTGTGGGATCTGATGCTGTCTCCAGGTAGATAGTATCAGAATTGAGTTGAATTGTAGGACACCCAGCTTGCGTTGGAGAATTGCTTGGTGATACGGGGGAAACCCACACATTGGTATCTACCTAGCTAGTTGTGAATATTAAGTCACATACTGTATGTGAAAGTGGCAGGCATGTAGAAATGTTAATTTCTATATAAAGAGGTCCTTGCTCCTCAGGGAGGAAATCTGACTGGGACACTTGTTACTCAGCCCATGACACCTACCCATGCAGGTAATAGACTGCAGTAGAATGGAAGGGCACAAGTGAGTTAGTGAGCCTTGTTACTGTTCTTTTTCTGCTCCCAAAGGGACAACTGGATAAGGAGGATTTCTTTCCATATAACTCTGGGCATAGTTCTCAGTCCCATTTGGAAAATGGAACTTCTTGTATGTGTCTCTTCCGACATCATTCTCCTCCTGTAATCAAAGCCCTATGTTTACTAAGAAGTAACGGATAATTGGAAGAGATTTTTCTTAAAAGGCCAGGTGTTATCTTTGAATACATTTCACATTTATTTACTGACTTAGGAAAAGTTTTAGGCAAGAATGTGAGGTGTTGGCTGGTGATTGCAGCTA